GTGCACATTGCCTTTTGCTCCAGTTAGAAGCTGACGCAGAGGTCAGAGCCTCCATACCCTGCTCCAGCATGAGCCATCAGGTTTAAAAAGAGACCCTACCCAGACACCTACGGTTGGAATACAATAAACATCAGTGTCTCCAGAGCCCAGCAGAGATCAGGGCTCCATTCTGCTGAGAGCAGTACCCATCCCTGGGGAGAGCAGCACCTGCATCAGAGAGCTTACACCCTGGCAAAAAGGTGGGAGAAAAGATCGGGACCCTCACTTTGGAGCTGAGGAATAGAAATAGACTTAATTAAGTTTGTACAGGGAGCGTGTGGCAGAGAAGCAAACTGAGACAAGGTCTCTGTTTTCCTATCCACCCTGGTATGGATTTAATGCAAAATGCGCTGACACAGAAGCCAGGGTACTGGGAGGATCTTTTGCTTCGGTGGGAAATTTTGGTGTCCAGTTTCAGAGCTGCCCTTGCTTTCTCTCCTCCGCTGCCAGGGGACCTTAGGTGTATTGCAGCAGCAGTGGAGGAAGGTGTCTCATGCTAGCATCCTTCCACAGGCACAAGCTGGCTGACGTTGAGGGTGCAGGGGGAGAAGAATGAAATTCAAAGGAGAGTCCCCCTCAAAAGGGACACTTTGCAAGACCATAGGAGCAGATGCGTCACAGCTCCTTACCATTTTCATTTTCTTGGGGTTTAAAGGAAAGGGTCTTTCTTACCCGCAGAGAGAAGATATCTGTTTTATTGCTTCCTGATGCACCCAGATATGTTACCCACGCTGTGAGGGTTAGATAACCCTGCTGCCATTGCCACCAGAGTCAGAAGCAGGCCAAGAGCCCAGCTTTCTGGCTCCGTGTGCCCTCCCCATGAAACTGCACTCCTCTACCTGGCTGCTGCTCTTCCAGATCCCAGACCCAACACAGCTGGCAAAGCTGCCGGGTCAGCCAACCACCACTGTCCCAGGCAGCGATACCGGCAGCTCCCGAGGCAGCGATAATGCTGTAGGGCTGTCCTATATTGCACCCACACGTACACACCCCAGCTCCTCTCCCCGTGCGCTGGGATGCCCATCGCGCACCCCGCCCTGGGCTCCTGGCAGGCTGGCCAGTTCCCCGTGTTACAGGGTGGGGAGGGAAGATGTTCGGAGCGCCTGCAGCTATTCAGTTACTGATGGTTGTGTTTGAAGAGCTTCCCTATCGCCCTTTTGTTAAAGCTTTGGCTTCCCCCCCATAGCCTCAACAGATGAAATCAAAGGGAAGTAGCTTTGCTTGGTGTAACCTGTTTTGATCAAGCAGATAAACGGGGAACAAGTGTCTGACACAAACAAACAGACAGACAGAGGCAAGTCCCACCTCAGCATTTTGTTGCATCAGATACAGAGGGCTTAGATAAACCACAAGAAGGGGGAGATCTCTGCCTCTCGGCTTGAAGACCAGGGGCGACACTCTGCAGTGCCAAGCCCCCACAGTTCCCATTAAAAAAAAAAAAAATCAACCCAGAACTTGCTGGCATGGCTTTCATCAGTTTAAAAAGATGAAAAGAGCTTACAGCCAAGCATAAAACTCATGCTTGTCATTACCCCCCATGGAGTCAGCGGGACTGCCTGCGAGCCCAGCTGCAGCACGCCAAGCATTAAACCACACGGGCATCACGCAGGAAAGGGTAAAGAGGACCCTCAGACTGGAGAGATGGCCTGGTGCTCGGGCTGGGGCTGACCTACGCAGCTCCTGGGCGATGGAGCAAAGCGCTCCAGCCCATAGTCCTCCCAGGAGACACTCGTGCCTATTCCCCTCTTCCCCCTCACACGTGTACTATGATAAAAAGGCAGACGTAAAGTAAGGGAAGGCTTAAGATTCACAGGACTGGATAAGGTAGGTGATATTCCTTAGAATTTTTTTTTTAAATCATCATCGCTTTTTTTAAAATGGCAAAATTTCACTACAACCAGTAGACATGGGGGGGTGGAATCACACAAACATGGGTTTTTGGAGAACATCTTACTAAAAGCTTTGAAGCTTTTTCCATGAAATTGGTGTGGATGAAAAAGGAAAAAAAAAAGCTTAGCTTTTCTAACCTCCTATGAAAGATGAACAATTTTGACAATTTTCTCAAAAAAGAAAAAGCCCCACGATTATTTCAAACACTTTCAAAGTAAAACAATGCCCCAAATTACCCTTTTTTCCCCTCTAAGCCCAGAACTGGCGGAGATATGAAAGGATGAGATTATGCTTCTGCTACTGACACTTCCCATCAGATCTTCAGGCATCAGTTTTAGATCAAGGGCTTGGTTTACAAAAGCATTTTGGCACCCAACTCCCTCCAGTATTTTTTTTTTTTTTTTTAATTCTTCTTGGAACCAGTCTGCATCTTTTGGTGATGAAAGACCTTTGTAAATCTGCACCTAGAAGGATTTCCATTCTTTCTAAGCTATAATATTGTTAGTTTGGTAACTACTCTCTCCTTTGGGGGTAACAAGATTCCTGGGGAGGTGTGTGGATTGGTCCAATTCATTAGTAAATAGGTCTTCAATTAATGAGTCATTGGAAAACAGATTTTTTTCCCACATGAAGCTAGTAAACAAAACACTAAACTATTAGGTGTTGCAGTAAATATTCCTCTAACAATATGTATAAGGGAAAATAAAAACTTCCAGGGAAGTTCAGTACAAAGAGCTTTGTTGTTTATAAACAGAATGGTCGGAAAGAGGAAAAAAAAACCCAAACCCGACAAAGATGTGTAGAGGTTTTAGGTGAAGCATCGAGGCAGCCCCTCCGTGGGCTTGGCTGGTTGTGACTGCCAGTGGGGCTGATGTGCCCGGTTACACCAGCTGAAGTGCAATCCAACATATACAGCTGAACGGTAGCCTGCGATCCTGCTCTGGCCACCCTCTCCTCAGAGTCCTGCAGGGGACTGCTCACCCCGCAGGAGGGGTTGTGGCTATTTGCTAGAGTCCCGCAGGAAACTCCGAACTCTCTGCAGTCTCTCTCATCACGGCTAAGTCTCATGTGGTGATCTCTGAAGATCCTGAACAGATCAAACAGTCATGGGGACCGTATTAGAAAAAAGAATAATTTAAAGAGGTTCCTGTTTAAATTAACAGGTATCAGTCTGCAGGGAAGTGTCACTCTTGCAAATGAAGGAGATTTACTTGTTCTGATTTCCCTGCTTGATTTGAAGTCTCCTAGAGCAGAAGCAGAGTTAATGCTGCTACAAACATTTTTGCTATTTTAAAACAAATTGACTTCACCTCTCTGCTTTCTTTTCTCAATTACCACTAGAAAGAGGTGCTACAGCTAACACTAATGGCTGTCTGGGAAGCTTAAGCTGAAAAACTGCATTTTATCCAATCAACTGTGGTGCCAGCTTCTCCCCTGTTTAACACTATTGACTACAACATCAGCAGCGTGAGTTTCCCACTACGCTTAGTAACAGCCAATACCAAACCCAAATACCGACTCTCGTAATAATACAGCCTTCCCTAATCTTGATCCAACTGCGCTATCCATCAGCTCTGTGTGCCAAGATGCACGAAACATTTCAGGAGACTCTGGTTCCCAATTTAAGGCCTGTAACAGCTACCAGGGTTTTTTGAAAGAGCTTGGGAAGTTGGGGACATGTTTGTTGCTAGGCGGCTTGGAAACATTTATCTCAAAAAACCAACTTGGGGTCATCTGAAAGCCCTGAGCAGAAGCTGACCCGACCAAAGTCAATCAGAGTTCACAGACATGAATAGAACCAGATTTTATCTCTACCTTAGATTATGTCAAATAACCCAGCTTAATAGCTAAGAGCACAGAGGATTTCTAGTCCTCAATGTACGGTGTAAATAAAGGGGCAGTTTTAGTCCCATTAAAACATGCCTCGGTTTCTCTGGCTTTACCAAGATCTCATTTTTTCTAAGTCCTCTCAAATGACAAAAGTAAGAGAGGAATAGTAAAATAATTCCATGTAAAGTTTTAATGTAATAATTACATCTTCCCCCCCCCAGCTTAGGGCTCTTCATTACTCAACGAACAATGATTCTTTTACATTGTCTCTACAAGTTTTAGTTTTACAAGGTGTTTATTTCTAAGTCTATAGATGAGCCTCACTGTTTCCAATAATCTTAATGTCTTATACCTAAATAAATATTAGGTGCTAAAAATATTTCTTATTGCTGTCTATTTGCCTAAAAAGGAATCTGACCAAGAGCCTTTGTGAAGTTACAGCCTCGAGGTCTTGCATTCAAAGCCCACTGCAGGCAGTGGCAGTCAGAAGTGATGACAGAAAATACAAAACTGATTTTTTTGGTGTATATCACACCTTGTGGCAGTGCAGGAGGTGGTAGGTAACCTGGCAGAAATCGGTGCTAACACCAGTGCTATCATTTTCAAAGGATCACGCTGTTCTTCAGCTTTCCACATTCAAGGAACATTGGGGCTTCTAGCCACGGAGCGGCAAGAGTCTGAGCAGCTGTGAGGTGGGAGTAGAGGAGATGAGAAACCCAATCATGCTTCAAGATGAAGAGTGATAAATTTTTGCTGGAACTACCTAGCTGGGTTTGATTATTCCCGAAGTGCCTCCCATTTTTCTACATATACATAGCCAAAAAAAGGCTTAGTCCCTGGGAGTTTTGTCTAAGAAAACGTTCCTGACACAAACCCTGTGTAAAACGAAGAGCTGTTTGTGCTAAACTGAGCAGACCAAGACTATTTCAATGGCATTATTCCTTTGGCAAGATGTGAGCGTATTTCCATGCTAAAACCGCAGAGGACATTACCGAGACACGCACTGATTCGCTGCTGTTACAGAAGGATCTTGCATGCTGATCAAGATACGAACGCAACCCTAGCCCAGAGCGCATTCTTGATCAACTCCCAGGCTGGTTGGGAGAGCGCAATGTAGCAGCAACAGGAGTCAACCAAAGCACGGACAGAAACTTCCAGCACCCATGCCCCCTCCTTTTCTTTCCTTTCTCTTCCCTCCTCGCGCTCCCTTGCCTGCCCCCCACGTCTCGGACCCTCCTTACCTGGCTCCACCTGGTCAGGTTCGTGCCGAGTATCCGTGGAATCTGCCGCATCACCGCTCATCTTGATCTCTAGAAAAGGAGGTACAACTGATTTTAATAACAGGTCACAGTCCCAGGCAACAGGCACATGTGGCTTCCACTAAACAGCACAAATGAATGTGTAATTATAATAAACCATCAGACTTTCAAATTTCTGATTCCTCAACATACAGTCACTAGAATATTCATCAGCTCCGAGGATGCACTTTCCCTCCTGTTGCTCTTTGCAACCCCCTTATTGCTCTCCCCCCTCCCCAATTTGCGGCTGTGTTCTCACCTTTTGCATCATTCCTCTCCCACGCAGAGGACGAGGGGGTGTTTAACCACTGGGAGCCCTCCCAGCCTGTCCCCCGAGCTTTATGCAGGCTTCCCAAACCCGCTGGTGTGGCTCTCAGTTTGACACCATCCTCCACCACACCTGTGGAGGCAGGGGATCCCTCCCAGCTTTCCCCTCCTCTCCGGCATCCTTTCCTTGTCCCTCCAGGCGGCTCAGCCAGGCCAGCGCTTGGTGCTGCACAAAGTACACGCAGGCAGGACAAGAAGCTCTTGGAGAGGGCAGCGAAGTCTCTCTTCTCCTCTCACTCCCTTGTGAGCTCAGCCTGTTGCTCTCAATATATCTGAGCCCCATTTGCAAACTATTTACCCTGCTTTCTCCCCCATGCACACGCCCACACCCCTCAGGAACCGTGCAGCAGCTGCCTTGCTCCAAAGCCCTGTCCCTGACCCAGGAGCGAGAAGAGTGCTTTGCCATCAAACTCCCGCATATCTCCCCCCCATCCTTATCAATGTCAATAAATTTGTCATTTACCCTTGAAGTGATGGCTGCCACCACACCCGGGGCCACGTTCTCCTTCAGGGACAGCTGAAAGACAAGGGGGGAAGTCAACTTTACACTGGATTGCTCATCTCCTCCTTAAAAGAGGCAAAGTACACACCAGCGAAAGAAGGAAGAATATCTATTCAAATTTAGATGGACACCCCCTCACAGTCTTCTACCCTTTGCATGGGAATTTTAACTCTTTCCAGGCCAGTTGGGGAAAAAAGATAACCATTTTTTATAAAGAACCAACTGATTTGCATGTGCTTCCTGCAGCCAATCCCGGCCACAGAAGTCATGCGATTTGCATGGGGTAATAACAACAGCGGTGGAAGCTGGGCCAGTGTTTGCTGTGGTTTTGCTGCGGTAGAAAAGGCAGGTGGAAGCCTTCTTAAAGGCATCACGCAAACGTTTTCCTCTTTCCCAAGTATGCCTTGTGTTATTTCCAAACGGCCAAAAGGGCGAGAAGAACCCTATAGGTTTTTATACCCATTTCCCTCTATTACTCACGCTAAAGCAAGACAGGCCTTTGTTTGTTTGTTCATTCGGGTTTTCTTTTCCCCTGTTCAAACTTCCAGTGTGCAAGTGGCAAACTACCTGCTTTTCGGCCAAAATTTAATAGCTTTGTTCAGGTTAAAGTTTGAAACTTTTTCTTCAGCAAATGAATAAAGGAAGAAAACAAAGGACAAGATTTTTATACCAAAGACAGAGGGCAGAAACATTCACATAGTTCAGAAGCTTCCTTTTTTTAAATTGCCTTAAAGTGTGAGGGGGAAAAAGAGAGAGAAGAGAGTTGTGGGATTTTTTTTTTTTTTCCCCCTTCAAATAAACCCGCTGCAATTAAGACATGAACATTTAGTGGGGCTTCTAAGCATTTCTACTGCAGGAAGAGTAATTATCATCAGCTATAAACATCTTCTTGTCTTGTAATACTGCCAAGGGACCCTAACTTAGGCAATCTACAAAGCACAAAGTTTTGCTTGCTGCCAAAAAAAGTATCTTAAAAAAAAAAGCCAAGTTCTCATAAAATAGAGTAAGAAAAAAGTCTTAAATCATGCAGAAGTTTGGTGCTTGCTCTAGTAAGAAAGCCTGCAGGTTTGCAAAAAAAAGTAACACATATTTCATTGTGAGCACACAAATAATGAATGAATGCATGTTAGTGAAAGAAAATTATCTAATCCCCAAGGAGCCCCTTATGGGCACAGAGCAAGAGACAGGGCAGTTCAGGCAGAGCTGAAGAAAGGAAGACACAAAAGCAGACCATAAGAAGCTCTCTCCCTCCTACGGGAGTGAGCCCTCAGCCCCTCTGCCATTTATAACCTGGGGTGGGCGGGGAGGAAAGGAGGAATTGCAGCTGTAGCTTGATTAAATACCACATGCTATCCATCAGTCAAATGCCCTCCTCCTGGAGTCAGGTGATAACAAGATACCCTGTGATTCTCTCATACATAGAGCAGAGGAATTTTATTTTCACACAGATTCGAATTCCCATCATAAATGTACACTATTTATTACATTTTTATTACATAAATGTAATAAAACTTTAAATATCTTGTGGGGGGAGAAAGAAAACCAACCCAGGAGGAAAAAAAACCCTTTTGATCAACACCTTCTGATGTAAGTGGTTTGGAGCTGGACAGCAGTGCGGCACCAGTCATCCTCCGAGGGGCCCTTGAGAACAAGGAGCAGACATACAGAGGAATTACTTCCTAATATGATACAAGTGTAGCCAAGATAAAGGCAACACCTTTTTATTGACACCCAAGGGTCTTCCACTAGAAACCAGGATGGAGTGATGCATCTGGATTTGAATCCCTCGGCATCTGACAAAATATTTCAAGACAAAAAAGGCTGTGAGACTTTGAGTCCAACTAAATGCAAGCCCCACCATACAGCTTTGCTAGTTTGGCAATATACGGAGAATAAGCAGGCTAGTAAAAAAAAAAAACTCTGGGAAAACTAATGCAACTTAGGACTGCCTAACTCCTAACCACAGACCTATTAGGAGCCGCCACTGCGGCCTGGGCCATATTAAAAATGTGCTGCTCTACCTCAGCTAGCAAACATACCTGGAGTAGGGGTAGTCTGGTTTGTTCACTCAGACCAAAGAAACTATACCAGTGCAGACACTTCTCTGGGGATATATCTGCATCTATATTTTTGCTGAAAAAAATGGTGTCAGCAAATAAAGCTTTCCCAAGCTCTTATTCCTAGTAGTTGTTCAGACATGGGCACCAGGGTAAACCAGCCTGATGACTTTAAAAGGGAAAACGAAAGCTGGTGCTGGTAGTGGGGGGAACTCAGCTTAGCTGAGACCATTACCTGGAGCTTATTGAACTTTCTGCACTTTAGGTGCCCAAGCCCCTCTGGAGGCTCCAGGAAGGTGAAATATCCAAATGCCTGGGGAGGAGGCGGTGGTACACGCCAGGGAACACGCTGCTGCAGGGAAACCGTCTTGCCAGGGAGGCGGGCGTGCGGAGCCCGAGCAGCCCACCTTCGCTTTGCACGCTGCGTCTTCTCTGCACGGCCGCGGAAGAAGCAGAGCACACCTCTGCAAGCAGCTTACTGCAAGGCTTTAGTGTTCGGGGACCCCAAGACTGAACACCCAGAGCTGCCTTTGCGCGACGGTGAAGAAACACCCTCCCACCAGCGCTGGGCTCTGGCACGTGGAAGTGGTTGGGCCCAGGCTGGTCTCTCTCCCTGCAAAAAGACTGCGTAAAGGCCCTTCCGACAGACCGCAGGGTGGGATGAGTTGGTAGAATGGAAGTTCAGCGCGCACCCAGCTCTGTGCAGCTCCGGGCCAAATCCACCCTGGGAGTGATGCCACTGGCTTTGACAGAGGGCACAGTATCGATTTTGGGAATCTTCTCACGAAGAAAGAGTCGCCCACAAGCAAAGCAGATGGGTGGATAG